CTTTGTGTGTTCCCTCCAAGAGTGGAGTCTCTGTTTCCCCCAGTCCTGTCAAAGTCCTGTAATCAAATCCTGCTAGCCCTCAAAGTGTGATTCTCTGGGAATTCCTCCTCCCATTGCCGGACCCCCAGGTTGGGAAGACTGATGTGAAGCTCAGAACCTTCACTCAGTGGGTGTACTTCTGTGATATAATTGTTCTCCAGTTTGTAAGTCACCCACCCAGCAGTTATGGGATTTGATTTTGTTGTGATTGCTCCCCACCTACCATTTCATTGCAGCTTCTCCTATGTCTTTGGATGTGGGGTATCTTTTTTGGTGAGTTCCAGTGTCTTCCTGTCGATGATTGTTCAGCAGTTAGTTGTCCTGTGAATGTATTTCTACTGCCAGTCCTATAGTGCTGAGTGGCTCACAGGTGCAATTCTAGTTTTAAGGGGACAAATTATTATTTTTATCCACATTTAAAAGTGTCATTTAGTATATTTTGTTAATTTGATTAATTTTCTCATTGTATATCAATTAGAATTCTGTAAGATTTAAAAAGTCCACACACCACATGTAAAAATTTATTGCTTTATTTCATGCTGACCTGCTTAATAAGTGAATTTCTTAATATTGGAAATACTAGTCTTATATAATTAGGCAGGATTTTTTTCCATCAAGCAGAAACATCACTCAGTGTTGTCTTTATCTTTAATAACTCTTAAGTATGGCATGCCAAATGTTATTGATATACAAATGAGTCAAAAACAAATCTCAGAAGATTTTTAGGAAATAATAGATAATTTCGATTTTATAAATAGCACATTACTAGAAAGTAACAATGAAAAGCTGGCAGTTAGTCATTCTGCATCTATATACATATATGCATGTTATATGTGGGAGGACGTGCACTTACGTAAATATATTCTATAAGATATCCTTACATGGATGTACATTCATTGCTCACGTCTTCCTAGAAACATCTTAGACTTACCTATATTCTCTCTTTTGTTGGTGTATGTTTATAAATATTTGACCTGACTCCAAAGTTATTATAGGAAATCAGTAACTATAATAATGCCTCTGTTTCCCTCCATGTGTAACATCTTGTTCTTTACGTTTGGGGTTTAAAGGAAATTCTGTCTTTCCTGATGCATCCATGAATGACTGTGCACTAGGATGCAGTACATTTGGTTATACTCTGTACTTCAATAGAGTGAAGGTGATATCGGCATTATGAACAGCAATAGGAATAGATAGAAAATTGTCTCTGTCCCTTTATATAGCCTCTGTGCATTCTAGGGTTGGAATTGTACTGATCGGATAGTTAGCCCACCACCCAGACAGCCCTGTATTTGCTCACCACCAGCACTGCCATTGCCTCCTTTCCAAACTCATGAGAATACCTCAATTTTCTGGGCTTTGAAAGCACTCGTTATCTCCAAACTTGGTACTCCATAATCTACTGCTTTAATGATATAGTAGATCATTGACTCCTTAATGTATAATCTATGTGCCCAGCAAGACCATAACAGGTTAAACCAAAACCATAATGGATATTCTTGTTATATCCCCTGTAGAATGTTATAGTGCCTGTAATTAGTATGTGCTTAAGACTAATTATATGTTGAATGAATGAAGAGATGAATGCGTGCAATTTTTAACACTCTAACCCATGGTATGGTATTAAGATCTCTTTTAACAAATGGCACACTTCGTTTTGTTAGGCCGTATATTAAATATAAGAAGCATAATCTATATTCTGATTCAATCAATTGTGTGGTGGTTGAGTAGGACGCTCCATGAGAGCAGGAACATGATCATCTGTTTTATTCTTTGCTACATACTAGTACCTGGCAGTGTATGGTGCAAGAGAGTTGCCTTAAAATTTGTATTGAGTTAGTGAATTCTGTGTCAGATAAGGATACTTTCCAGTTTTCCCTGCAGTAGAAGGGCATGTAGAATTACATGAGTCTGATTTAAATACCATATTATTTGATATCCAGAAGCTTATTTATGTTACCTTTCCCTCCTCTCAAATCGTGGCAATTTCTGAGAGAATAAACAAGTACACACTGGCCCTGGACCAGTCGTAATTATTTGATTCACTCAGTAAATTCCTTGTCATTGAACAACAAAAGATCTCTAATTAAATGAAATAGATAAAAACTTAAGGACTATTTTGCAATTCCTTGATACATTATTTTACTAACATTCATAAGTAGATATGTGTGTGTGCATGTATGGTGTGTGTGTGTGTGTGTGTGTGTATATATATATATCTATATATTACATATATTACAACTTTAATGTAGTTCGGAATCTAAGACCCTATGTAGGCAACCTATCTCAAAAAATACTTTTAACAATTTTTTAAAAATAAATTTGACATAGTGGTAAGTATTTTTAGTTTTTTGGACCCCTCTTATACCTCTTAAATCAAGAATAGGGTAGTGCACACCTGTTGGGTGTTACTACCTTACAAATCTTGACTTTCCTTTAACACAAAATGTATAAAATCTTTTCCTCTCTTTCTGAAAACATAGTGATTTTAATTTATTTCTCTCTCCAAGTTTTCTCTCTTAAATATCACATTGGTACTGTGGTCATTTCTCATAAGATTTTTTTACCATTTTCTTTCTTCTTTTTAGTTCATAGTGGAAATAGGGGAACTAGTGGGAAGATCTTGGAAAATTTCAGAGTTCAACAAAAGTTAGATTCAAAAATCCCTAAAATGTAACAGTAGTCTTGATATCATGGGAGATGTTTAGAAAATGAATACACAATTAGGGTCATTATCATGTGCTCCTAAAACTTACTGAGACTTTATCTTTCATAACACTTCCAAACTGTGATTCCATTATGCTTGATTAGAACAAGTATGACATTTTATTTTAAATTTTCTATACTTACACCAACTTGGTTCCAAATATTCACCATTCCCAGTTCAGATAAGAATAACTTTCCTGGGAATTGATTTTTCCCCCATTTTATTATTGCTTCTTTGTTAAAGACAAAAAACAGATGTGATATTTTTATATAGAAATGAACTTGTTCTTTCATATAAACTTGACTCATCTCTATAACAAAAAAGTAAGTTGACTCCTTTTTTAACTTTTTAATTTAAAAGACTATCTGTTTTATTAAAAGGCTTAAGGAAAAATCAAAATCATTGATTTGTGGATGTGGGGGAATATAAATCCCACTCATCCAGAAGCTTTGTTATATAATTTTTATCTAGATGTAATTCAATCCAAAATAGTATGGTATGGGACTGGAGATGATGAAGATGTTTGTCTAAAGCCTAGACTAACAATGCAATGTATGACATGTTTGAGAAATTTTTACTGCTGCTGAATCTGAGGAAACAATATTGGTAATTAAATTAGATTACACACCCATTGTCTTCTTCTTTTATATGATTAACAAATTTAATATTCAAATGTAGAGACGCATTATGCTGGGAACAGCTTTTTTAAAAAAAAAGCTCCTCCCTTGCACCATACGCTGCCAGGTACTAGTATGTAGTATTGTATTACACTGGTGAGAGAGAAAGAAAAGCGTTTTCAATCTTTCTGAGATAACCTTTTTGAAACAGAATGGCGGCAGCAGGAAGCTGGATGGTTTTATGGTTCATGTTACCCATAATTATACATGAAGAAACAAAAACCTAATTCCCAGCATAACTCCAAATAACAAATTAATCATTGAGCAGAAACTAGTAAAACATGGGCCACTTGTTTTAATTGTTAACTCATTTCTCAGAGGCTGATTGGGCATAGAACATCTTTATATTTTACTTGAGGAGAAATATTTATATTTAGTTTGATTACATTTGGGATAGATCTACACACTGAACTGAAGAATTATTCCCAAATGAAATGAAGCATGATATGCTTTCATTTTGATTGTTAATCTTGGCGCATCTACACAGGAATACAATTAGTGTAAACTCGAAAATACTTTTCATTCAGTTGCCTTGCCATTGAGAGGTACCTCGGTTTTTTTATTGAATGAGCTGATTCAGAAAGCTCTTTAGCATTCAGATGCCAAAGGTATTTTGATTGCATTGTACTATCAAAGTATGTCATATCTAAAGACTAGCTATGTCGTAAAAATTGAATATCTATAGCAGTGAGGATTTGTTATATAATTCATATGTCATAGATCTTACTCTTCTATACTGAATGAAGTTTACTTAAGGTATTATATGTGTTGATATTTGCGCAAGAAGACACCGGCTAGACTCCAATCACATTATGAAATACAAAATAAAAAGTTGAATAAATAGCAAAACATGATTTTTTACTACATATTATGTTAGTCCATTGGTATTCACTAACAGATACTGATGATATAAAGAAGGACAAACAGTCTCAGAGCAAATTAATGATTAGACTAAAAAAATAGAGTGAAAAATTTAAGTATCAATACAACTAGAACCTTAATTAAGAAATTTACTATTCATTCTTCCCTACTATAAACATCAATCTTTAGTCAATTTATACTTCAGCCTGCACACAGGTGTTTCATAACACTATAGACTAATTCCAAGTGGATGAAAATATCTTATGATTAAGCCCATGAACCTTTTATATTCTGAGAAATGCACCTTTATGAAAAGATTCAAAATATAACTAATTACACTGAATTATTTTAAATAATGGTTGGGTAAGTGATTTAAATGATGAAAGTATCATGGGAAATTCTTTTAGAAAATAACCATAATTAAGAAAGCAGTGTAGAAAGGAAAGATATCTAGGGTGGCTTTCCCTATGTGAAGTAAGATTTTTTTGCCACAGTTTATTAAATAAATTCTATGTAATCTATACACATGTATTTCAGATAGGGATTAAGCTATTTCTGTTTTTCTGATTTTTGCACTACTGTGATATAGACTGAGTAATTTCTAAGATGTCTGAAGAAAAATGTCAATTATAATAAGACATTAAAAGAGCAGAAACATAATTTTAAATAATCTCAAATGTATTGCTGTTATTTGTCTGTGTGTATTGATTTTGCAGGTCTGGCCGTGGATCATTTCAGTGAACGGATATACTGGGCCGACCTTGAGCTCTCTGTTATTGGCAGCGTTCTATATGACGGCTCTGATTCAGTAATCTCTGTCAGCAGCAAACAAGGTTTGTGAAGTGCTCTTGTTTTTGCTTTTAATTATCACTGAAAGTATTAAATAATGATACATAAATATAATATGAAAGCTTTACATTCTGTATTTCCTCAAATTCTCTCTCTTTTCAACTTATAGCTCTTACTGTTCCTTACAATTTTCATTCTTACTAGAATAACAAAGAGGCCAGGCCAGAAGAACTTCTTGACTCTAGAACAAACGTGGTCCATTGCTACCCGGATTCAAAAAATATTCATTCTGTTTGTTGCTTCCGTGGATGTTCTGTTCTGAGCAGAACACTTCAAGTAATCGAGATTAGTGCCTGTGAACGCTAATTTTTATTTCAAATTGCAGTGATAAGTAGGAAATGAGTTATTGTATATAGTAAAACATCATAGTAAAAATTATTATTTTAGGTAGTTGATAAGGATATTCTCATCCATGTGAAAAGCAACATGTAAAAATGACAACTTACCTCTCACACAAGTGACTGCAGAATCTACATGTGCTCTTCTTTTGTGGCACCCTTTTATATCTCCATCTCTGTGTCTACCTCCTATTTTTTACTCTCATTTTTGACTCCTTTCTGTGTCTCACACTTTTTTTGCCTGGCAATCTCAGTTCTTTCTGATGAAACTAATTGATTTCCCTTCTGTTCTTCTTTCCCTTTCCTACCAAAACTGCTTACCTATTTAACACCAATTGTTCACAATATATACTTGAGGTTTTTATATTTACATATTTTATTTACTGAATATTGCTTTGCTTCCTTTTTTTTTTTAAACAAAATCAGAGAAGTTTCAAGAAAAATAATTGCATTGAACTTTCACTGTGTCTTTACTGGAAGTGTGTGTTTTTTGTATGTAGGTTCCATAACCCTAGATGGAAAAAAATTCCGTATTCACATAAATGATTGCAAAAATTTACCTGTTTTAGCTTAAGTGTACATTTTACTGTTTCAAGGAACATTGAAGGAAAATATATGTTAAAAGGCATTTTATGTTTTACAACCTTTAGATAATAAGTGAAATATAAATGTTATATTACTTGTTTAAATTTCAGTACCAAAAGTTATATTTCTTATAAATTCTCTCAAATAATAGCCATTTTGTAAAATATGAAAAATTGTTATTATTATTACTATTCTTCTCAGCCATACTAGTCATATGTATGATTACCATTTGCCAATTTGTTTTCTTAACCCCATTTCTAAAACAGATAATAGTAATGCCAAATTTTGGAGGAGGATTTTACTGTTTAAAATCAGTTCATGATTGATTGATAAAATTGTCATTCAGGTAATCTAATTTGACCATTAATTTTATACAGAACACAAAATGATAATTTTGTAAATTCCTGGTTTTGAGCAATGGATAACTTTGGCCTGTAGGCTTTTTGTTGTTGTTGTTTGCAAACTGTACAGCAGAAAATATTACTGTGTATAATATGTCCCCCAGCCAATGCTTTGTGTTGGTGATGATGATTAAAGTGATGATGGAAGTGTTTTTTATGTTCTGAGTGACAAGTTTAATATCTCACATATTTCTACTGCTAATAAATTAATCCTAACAATGTTACAGCTAATATTAAAAACATTCTAATTCTGAAAGGTTTTTTATGAACAGGAATAATATTTTCTATATGATCTTGGATGAACTTAGTTTTCTTAAGTCTGAGTATTTATATTGCACCCCTTACAACTGCATTTTTTAAAAATTCTAGGCTTGTTACATCCACACAGGATTGATGTCTTCGAAGATTATATATATGGAGCAGGACCTAAAAATGGTGTATTTCGAGTACAAAAATTTGGCCATGGTTCAGTAGAGTACCTAGCTTTAGATGTCGATAAAACAAAAGGTGTTTTGATTTCTCATCGCTATAAACAACTAGACTGTAAGTATAATATTTTATACTATTATCTATATTGACAAAGTTTCTTTCTTATGACTCTCAAAATAAAGTATTTTTAAATTCTTAACTCTATTCATGGCTTAACCCCAATAAGTTAAGTTCACTTTAATTTTGGTATAACCAGACTTTTCAAATTACCAAAGACAAGAAATAAATAATGCAATAGTTGCTATTTTTGCAAAAACAGGTATGAAAATTTCAGGATTTGTTTGTATTTTCTTGCAATTAGAATTAACTTTGTTATAAAAATTTGTCTCTTATTTTGTGTTTTTCTAAATTCTTAATAAAACTTTGTGGGTCGATAGATAAACCACGCAAGTAAGGAAATTTGTCATTAGCCTTTTTCACTCTCTGATAACCAAGTAAAAATCATAGCTTTAACATTTCATCTTTAAAGGTATCTGAGGAGAATGTTCCCAAAGGTTGTATTTTCTCTCATGGTTTATGACTTTTATTGTTACTTTCTCTCCTAGAAAAAAATAGGTAAATAATTGACATAGTTATTTTGAAAGATGTGTTTCCAACAAAGCCATAAAAAATATCGAAGAACAAAGGAATAAAATGTGGCTGAAACGCTAATGATCTGTGTTTATGTATGAGTTCACCCTTCAAAAAACTTTCAGATTTACTTATAACTATTCTTTATGGCAAATAAAAAGGAATTGGGCTTCCCTGGTGGCGCAGTGGTTGAGAGTCCGCCTTCTGATGCAGAGGACACGGGTTCGTGCCCCGGTCCGGGAGGATCCCACATGCTGTGGAGCGGCTGGGCCCGTGAGCCATGGCCGCTGGGCCTGTGCGTCCGGAGCCTGTGCTCCGCAACGGGAGAGGCCACAACAGTGAGAGGCCCGCGTACCGCAAAAAGAAAAAAAAAAAAGGGATTTAATCTCATTTGGTATGATGGTCTGGAAAGGTAGCAACTGATATTTACCAAATCAGTTTTGGAAACAGATTAAAACAACATATATTCCCCTAAAACCTTCCTGAAATTCTATTCAGTGTTTTGCTACTCTTTGCTAATGATCTGACACATATGGTTCCAAGGTTAATATGAGGATATTCCCTCTCATCCTCTAGTTCTGTTTGATTCATATTCATAGTCAAATATCTCCACCATCATAAAAAATAAATTAATAAAAGTCTGCCCTAAGTATAATAGGTGTTTGATTACTGGTTCTTACAGAATGAAAGCCACTTTCATAGTCACCATTTCACTGCCTAGATACCATTTCTGTTTCATTCTAATGACAGATCCTGCATGGAAAGCCACGCAACAGCTGTGGCTGCAGAGGATACTGATTGGATAGAAATATAGACAAAAGTAAATGTGGTACCCATTTATCCATGCACACAAACTCCTATCTGATGGAAAGCATACCATATTAAACATGTTTTTAGGGAAAAAAGCCATGTTTTGTTTGTGTTCTGACAGACAACTACATATGGATTTTAAGCCTTTGTAAATACCAGGGGGGAGCTGTTTCTGTTTGTTAAACCAGTTTTGAAACTACCTAAATTTGCCAAAGGAAAAGTGACAAAGTATGTGCTTGAATAATTTCTTCTCCCTCATGGGAAATGTAAAGTAGGGTAAGGTTTCTATTAATGTTGAATGTTGGGTAGTAATTTCTTTTCATCTATAAAGGAGAATTGGAATATTGAAATAAGATACTCCCAGTAAAAATTTGATGTTATTTCTTTTCAACATTGCTAATTCATCATTTCACCTTATTGAATTTTATGTTTTTGAAACCTATTGTATTTATAATTATGTGTTTCTTTTTTCTTTTGTTTTGTTTTGATCAGTACCCAATCCATGCTCGGATCTAGCATGTGAATTCCTCTGTTTGCTGAATCCTTCTGGGGCCACCTGTGTGTGCCCAGAAGGAAAATATTTGATTAATGGCACCTGCAATGATGACAGCCTGTTAGGTAGGTAAACTTCATTATTCTGTAAGTAATGAATTACTGTATACAGTAAATGTTCACAACTACTGAAACTGAGCAGTATTAGCTACTCAGTCATCACTGATATTTCCATGATATCACTGGTTCTTGAATGCCTGTGTAAACTATTCTTTTCTCTGATGATGACTTCCCATCAATGCTTTCTACATTTGTTCACAAAGCTGCATTGAGCACTTACTGTGCATCGAAGACTAGATTAAGAACTTTGAAGTCACACACAGAATCAAGAGACCTGTTTATATAGCTCCTGTATCAGTAAAGATAATGATATTTCTGAGGGTGCCATTCTGCTATTAGTTTAAACCCAACTCCCAAATCCATTTATTCATTTAGCAACTTTATATATGTTTTGTGTGCCAACACTAATTTAGAAACTGATGATTAATTTAGAAAATAAATCTTAGTTTCCTCTATGTAAAATTTGATTAACAGTAAATACTACTACTACTAATAATAATAATAAATATTTTGAGGGCTTTGGATTAAGCCAAGATCTATCACTTAACTAATATGTTTGGCCCTGTACTCCCTCAGTCTCAGTTCCTTCTGTGTGAAATTGGATTAACAATAAATACTACTACTACTGCTAGTAATAATAATAAATACCTTGAAGGCTTATGAGCAAAGCATATTTTAAGCTGAGCAAAGCATAACACTAATTTAGAAACAAAGGACTAAGTTAGAAACAAAACTGAAAATATTTCTTCATTCAAGAAGTTTATATTTTAGAAGCTAGAGGTTGGAACAAACATTTAAAAACTTGAAATATTATTTCAGATGCTAGTATGTGTTAAATAACAAAACAGAAAAAAATCAAATGAAAAAAATCAAAACTGAAAATAGTGTGATGGGAAAGGGAAAGAGATGTCTCTTGGATATCCAGGCAGACTTTCAATAAGTTTCCTCATATTCAAGACATTAGCCATAATGGGAAAAAAATGCTACTAAGAGAAAAGAAAATCAACACATTAATTTTATGTCACAGACAAAAATGCAGTGCTCCAAAAATCACTTGAGGGTCACAGCAAACATTTTTCCAATGAGATACACACTTAGGATCTCTTCATAGCAGGGCTTCCCACCGGTTGTATTTCTCTGTTTAAATGAACTCCTCATGTGAACACAGTGTCTTTGCCTTCAGTCAGCATCTATACCCCCATATCATTGTCTCATTGTTCTCTGCTGGGGGTTTTGCCAGCTGAAGACTTTTGCCTTTCCTAAGGCACTCAGTGTCTAAAACTGTCACAGCTCTTCCATTTAATATGTATTTTTAATCATTTGATATGCAAAGCTGAAGAGGTTGAAAAGATGAAATGATGAATGACACAAACACCAATAAATACTTATGTGAATAGTGATATAAGCCACAAAAGAGACAGACTTTATGCTATTATGAGGAATTAGATGATTATCCAGTTAGAGAATTGATTAGTTCCTATAGAACATGACATTAGAACAAGATCTGCAAAGTTAGATTATATTTAGATTAAATAGGAATGAAGGAGGAGGACACTGAGAAGAGGAAACTGTCTGAAAAGTCATGAAAGCATGGACTGTAAAGAAAATAATGAGTCATTTATTCCAGTTAGTGTGTAGGATGTGCAAAGTGCTGTTGTGGGTGGCAGTTGGAACATTCTTAACGGAGAGCTAAATATGAATCATGACTGGTATTTTGGATGGGTGTTTTAGTGCCAGTCATTGAAAAGGGATGCTGTCACTGGTACTAGGATGCACCCTTCCTCTACCAATTCTCCCAACTAGAGTTGCCATGATCTCAATTGTGATGGTAGAATAAGAGAATTAAATGAACATTTTCAGGTACATTTTTCACTCACTGCTCTGACACAGTCACAAACTCTATACTTAACATCTCAGAAACAGATTCTTAAAAACGTCAACAACTCCTTCCTTGTGGAAGATGTGCCTCATTTTCACTAGTTCCATATATACCCATAAGCAGTGCTCTCACAGATGCCTCCTGTGTGCCATGTCTACTTACACTATTGTTTGGGTGGGAGAGACCCCTGGGAAAGAGATGAGTATTCTGCACAGAAGTACACAGCTTGTGCTACCAGTGTGACTTTTACACTGGTTCAGATATTATAAGTGTGTTTTTTTTTCTTATGGTCAAGTTGCAGACAGCTTTTCTTGTTTTCCTTTTATAAGTAAATAAGACTGTCTCTTCTACATAACCTCCCTTTTTCCTCTTTGCTTAATGCAAATAATTTATTCAATAATACAAAATCAACAAATATACAGGAAGAACATGGTCTGGAGTAGAGCTGAGGTGGTGCTTTGGATTAAGCCAAGATCTATCACTTAACTAATATGTTTGGCCCTGTACTCCCTCAGTCTCAGTTCCTTCTGTGTGAAATTGGATTAACAATAAATACTACTACTACTGCTAGTAATAATAATAAATACCTTGAAGGCTTATGAGCAAAGCATATTTTAAGTATGTTATATAGATACATATATAATTTCATTTAATCCTCACAAAACTCCAATGATATTATACTGTCATTGCCCCTATTTTTACACATAAAAAATTGAAGTATGGAGAGGCTCAATTGTCTAACAATACTTAATAATGGTGGTACCCTAAGGTGGACCTAGGCATTCCACACTCTTAATCATCACATAATACACTCCAGTGTCTCCAAGTCACCCAAAGTACCCATGTCCAGAGTCATTGGAAATACTAGAAATAACATACAGAAAGTGCCTAGCACAATGCCTTGCAAAAAGTAGACACACAGCACTCTAAAATAAATCTGTCATGAAGTAAGCAAGAAAATGAAGCTATTACCAAATTGTATAGTTTTATGTTTTAAATGAGGAAGCATTTTGTCTAAATATACAAAGATCTAAAACTTTTTTATAAATTTTAGTTTTACTATTTCAATCCTGCTTGAAAGGCAGGGTTACAGAAACCTCCTCAATGTTTATTTTATGATTTAAAAGAAAATCTTATATTTTAAACAATCTGAGTGTTAAAAAGTATTCACACTGGCCTCTGTATATGAGCCTTGGTAATGGATGGCTTGAACCACTTCGGTTAGGAAGATAATTAAGTGGATTTTAGAATTATTGATTGGTGAAGATAAAAGCCAATTAATTTTTTCCTGACATTAGCATTTGATACAGCCAACTTTTTCAGCTCTTTATAATTGCTTGCCTTTCTCTAGCTGCTATTGTTAAATGATGAGCACCCTGAGTATTTTTAATCTTCATGTAAGAAATTTGAATTCAAATGTTATGCGTTCTTGGAGAACTGTTCACCTGCTCTTCCCTATAGTTGATTATAATTGCTGGAGCTTGGCTTCTGGAGGTGATTTTGTTATTGACAAAAGCAGCTTCCTTTTTCATTATAGAACTATTACAGTTAGGTTTTGAAAGAATGTAACTCTACTTCCATTTCATCAGGCAGTGTTATATTTTTTAAATTTCTGGTGCCTAATGAGGCACATTATAGAAATGAACCTGTCCTAACATGTAGAGATCTTGAATACCTATGTATTTTTACACAGAACACCTACAGGTGAAAAGGAGCCCTCCCATAACAATCCTAACTGTGATCATAATACCTTAAATATTTATCTTCATTGTTCACATTCACAACTCCAGTTAGGATATTTCATGCTGAATGAGTTAGAAATGTTTTGGTAAATTTTAAATTGAGCAAGCATGTTTCACTAGAGATCTTTCTTGAGAACGTGACCTCTATATTCAACTCTTTGCTAGAGATTCCCACTTGCATTTATATAGGTATCTCCAATTTAATATGTTCAAAGATAAAACAACACTTCAGGTCCTATTGGCCTCGTGTTAGAAACTGAAGAATTATCCTTGTTTTTTCCTTTCCCTCTGATGTGATTTTTGTCTTCTAGTTACCTTCAGAATATGTCTACATTATCTATCCCACATTACTCTATTTTAGGCCATCATCTTATCTAGCCTGGACAATTTAAACAGAGTCCTAATAGTCCCCCTGCTTTCAGTTTAACCCCTACCAGTACAGTCATTCTTGGACTTTTTAGACTTTTCAAAGACCTAACATTGCTATGGGGGCAAAGTCCAACATCCAAGGATCTCCCATGACACTCTGCTTATCTCTTTAAATTCACTTCTCTCTTTCAGTTCCTGCCTTCACACTCTGTAATCCAGGTCCAGTCACAGTAACTTTCATTCAGTTTCAACAATGCTCACCTTCTGGTATTCATAGATGCCACTCCACGTGAGCTATATTCTCAGTGCACCTTATGGGCACTCAATACCTAATGCTGAATAAGAATGTTACTGGGTAATTTACCTAGTAAGTTCCTCAATTTCCTGTTGAAATTTAACAATACACCTTGTAGACCCAGATCGCAGGTCTTCATCCTCATACTATTCTAGTATGGCTAGAACTCAAATTCTCATTTGTGTGTATGTTATATACTTATATACTTAAAAATTTACAAAGTTTTATAATTTTGACTTTTACTTTCCAGTTTCTTATTTAATTTAATATTCACAACAAACCTATGAGTTAAGTTGCACATTTGTCCTTAAGGCTATCTTAAAGTAGAAATAACTAAGGCTCAGATAGGTTAATTTGTATGCCTAGTAAGGGGCAGAGCTAGGACTTAAAAACAGGTCTCACTACATCAACTGTCATTTTCTTTATACTCTGTGTATATAGTGCCTCATGAGAGAGCCCTTCATATTACAAATGCAGACTTTAGTAATGCCAACCTGAAGCCTCCCTACATGACAAAGTATTGGAAACTGCTTTGCAATGCCAAAAATCTCGAAATTTGTCTGACACTGCTGATAGATGATCTCTGTTTATGACAGTGGTTATGATACTTGAATTATGTTGTCATTTGAAGTCACTGAGGCTCTTTAAGATGTTTTTGTGATTATTGCAGTGATAATTATTCAAGCTTCTGTTATGTCTGTGCCAATGCATCTTGAGTGAACAATATAGGCTGTTTTGATTTTATCTTATTTTGTATAAAGTAAGCATGACTGTAGAAAAAGGTATTTTTTGAATAGAATGCTCTTAAAATATTGTCAATTGTCTTTATTCCATTGGACATTATGTCCTGTTCTATGTAGAGCAGTAGTTCTAATGGAGCAAGGCCATGTCTACACATACAGAAAAATAATGTGGAAAATGATTCCAAACCAATCTTTATCATAAATCAGACTCATCATATTTTTAAAAATGATTTTGTGACCCCCAAGGAATGATCATCCTTTCTTTCTCTCAGTCAAAATGTATTATATAGGCAAATTTTGCCTAATTATTTTATATATGGAAAAAAATGTTTCTGACACTGTTTTATCACCATCTTGTATCAAATCTAAGTAATTTTTAGTTTTGTGTGTTAATATATAGCTGATAAGGATGTACATCAAAGAGTATCTTTTCATTTAAATGTTTCCCTATACTAAAAATTATATGTTTTTGTATATGTACACTATACTATATATATGCACTATACATACTATATATATACTCCCTACATACAAATGAGTTCCATTCAGAGAGCATGTTCGTAAGTCCAATTTGTTTGTAAGTAAAACAAAGTTAGCCTAGGTACCCAACTAACACAATCAGCTATATGGTACCGTACTGAAATAGGTTTATAATAATTTTCACACAAATAATACATAAAAAACAAACACAAAAAATAGAGAAAACTTTTTTTTTTTTTGAAGATGTTGGGGGTAGGAGTTTATTAATTAATTTGTTTGTTTTTGCTGTGTTGCGTCTTCATTTCTGTGCATGGGCCTTCTCTAGTTGTGGCAAGCGGGGGCCACTCTTCATTGCGGTGTATGGGCCTCTCACTATTGCGGCCTCTCTTGTTGCAGAGCACAGGCTCCAGACGGGCAGGCTCAGTAGTTGTGGCGCACGGGCTTAGTTGCTCCGCGGCATGTGGGATCCTCCCAGACCAGGGCTCAAACCTGTGTCCCCTGCATTAGCAGGCAGATTCTCAACCACTGCGCCACCAGGGAAGCCCAGAGAAAACATTTTTAATCTTACAGTACAGTACCTTGAAAAGTATAGTAGTACAGTAAGTATAACAGCTGGCATACAGGAGCCGGCAGCGAGTGAACAGGCAAGAAGAGTAACTGACTGGAGTAGGGAGAGGAGGTGGGGGAGGGTAGAGCTGAAGGATCTTCAGCAATAGGAGATGGAGGGCAAGCTGCTTTTTCACTCATGCCTGACATTCAGTACCAGCTACATCACCGCTGCTTATACGCTTGCTTCCGGACATCCTGGGCTTGAAATAAAAATACTGTACTCTATACAATACTGTACAGTAAAGTACACAAAAGCACAACCACTTGTAGAGGATACAGGCACGTGACAAAGTACACCAGGCACGTGAACTAACTTATGTGATAGGACATGCAAACACACGTTGGCATCTTTGAAAGTTCGCAACTTGAAAGTTCGTATGTAGGGGACTGTATATATATTTATCTTACATATTTCGGTTTGGTTTAATATCAAACACTTCTAAAAACTAGGACATGTTTGCCCATATCATGAAAAAACCCATATTGGTTGGAAAATATTTTATTTTTAGAAAGTTTCAGTTGGTTTTATTGTTTAATGTTTTAACAAATATAAGAAATGGTAAACAATGCTTTAAGCCTAAAAAAGAATAAAAGTTAATTCAATACTTGTGTTCACCGTTCAACAATGTTTGAAATCTATTTCTCTATTTTCAGATAGTATTTTGTTTCTTCTACGTTTATATTAGGGGTATTTATTTTTGGAATTTTATGGAAAAAAGTGAATCTTAGTATTTAATTTTTCTTTATTTGAATTTTTCTTATTCTACCACCTACTGAATGGCATGCTAATTTGTACATTTCTTCTTATAACCAGATGATTCATGCAAACTGACTTGTGAAAATGGAGGAAGATGCATTTTAAATGAGAAAGGTGATTTGAGGTGTCACTGTTGGCCTAGTTATTCAGGAGAGAGATGTGAAATCAACCACTGTAGCAACTACTGTCAAAATGGAGGAACTTGCATGCCATCAGCTCTAGGTAAATAATTGAGTGGCATTGTATATTCAGATCATCTGTAATTTTCCTTATATGTGAAAAATCTACAGAAAATACTTAATGCTATGAATATAATTCCTGTTGTCTTAACAAATACATTAACAAAAATTAAATCTAATAATTAATTCAACGTAATCAGTGGCATTTTTTCTAAATTGAGTATATCAATCGAAGTCCAAGTCACAAAAATTAACAATAATAATGATGATTATCTTGTGTTAAGTGCGTGCCATTGACAGGGCTCAGTGCTTATAGATATTCTGACTCTGGCTTAAAATGATGAGGCAAAATCAGTTTTAGAAGCCTTATCTATTTGACTCCAAAATCTGTTTTTTTTTTTTTAATTGAAGTTTGCCTGATGCTAAAACTCATGTTATTAAAAATTAGATTTATTTTAAATATATACATACTATATCAGTACATCTTAGAGCATCATAATTTCCATCTAAAATCATAACTACTCTGTTGTCATTGCAATGTAGTATATTCAAAACATATTGCTTTGAAAACATCAGTTTACTACATATTCGGATATACTTGAGATTCTTACTAATTTATGCTATATCTATGCTCGCAAAAAGTGTTTTCTACAGCACATAAGTGAATACTAAAACATATTTTCCTACTGACTTCTATTAAATTTAAAATATGTTCCCACTGGAAAAAAATTAACCATAATACATAATAGAAATATAATTTGCAAATTCCAGTATTAGTGCAAAGAAGATTATGCAACTATTAGAGTGAAATCTATGTACATTTAATTTTCCTACGATAACTGCAGATTTAGGTAGTCAGATAGAAAAGCAATCCATATGATCTTCACATCCCCTATGTGGTTAATTTCTTTCTTACTGGGATTTCTCACTGCTTCTATTGCTTAAGCTATTCTTTGAAGTATTTAGCATAATGCTAACAAAGAGCCACATGAAGCAGCATTTTCAATGGAGTTCAGGAGAAGCAAGCTGTTTTCTGATTTGCATTCTAAGAGTAAAAACAATACTACTTCTTTGATAGTTTGATAGTTTGATACCTATAAATATTTTGGACTTATTGATAATTGATAATTAAGATAATTGTAACTACTCAATAGAATTCTGAAAAAATATTCAGCAGGTTGATTGAACTAAAAGAGGCACTAGGAGTCTTACTACATATATTCATTCTGCCTGAGGGGGAGCTAGTCCATAAAGTATATTCTATTGCTGTGGGAAAAACTGTAGTACTGAGACCTTCATTGACTATGCAAATGAGAATCCATTGAATGTACAGTAAAAGAGTGTGACCTGTAATTATATTTTAGCAACAAACATACCACTTAGCTTTAGGGAAGAAGCTTCTCTTATGCAAATGAGTTGTTTAAGAGTTTTATTATTTAATTGTTAACTTAATTTTCTCATTAAGATAAAAAAATCTTTGGGTTGTGACCAGATGATTTTCTTATATTTACCTTTGGAAATATTTAAGCCAGCTAGATAAAGAGTTTGGCACTCCAAACTATGGCTACCTATTCAACCTGCAATCAATGCACAGGGACAAATCTCTGTGAAACATTGAATTTGCTATCCTGTTAATGGATCCTGAAATATATATAAATACAGCACAACTTTTGATGTTTCATTCAAATCATTTGTCCAGACCTTGCTGCATTCTTAAAATCCATAATATATCAAGTTTATCTATGCACCCAGAGTATTAGATCTTGATTTACATAGATAATATGTTCAGAAAAAATTATATTTCAAATTAGTAATATAAATGAGTTCTCATATGAATTCAACTTGAGATATAGCCATGTAGTTTATTGTCTTATAGCATCTAATAATTAATAATAATATAATAGCTAATTAAGTCATTTACAAAGCACTTTTCACTTTTAAAAATGTGGTTTTATAAAACATTGTTTGGTATTATAGACTGTAGAACCTCATTATCTCCACACAAATGTTAATTTGTGAAACAAATCCCAGTGGGCAACTCATAGATTTATTCATTGTCGGTTTACTTACAGTTAAGCCTTTGGCAAACTCCTATGTGGACACTATGTAACTAGGGTTTGGGGCAGCCTTAATTAAACTTTATAAGTTTGTGACAGTTGTATAGAACTATAATAATTGAACAAAAGAAATGTCACCAGTTAATTAAAGGCACACATCTGAGAGGCCTAATTAAAATTTTACATGTAGGAATGAATTTTTCCTCATTCCTTAAGGTTTTTTGTAATAAAGAAAACTAAAAACTAGATATATGAGCTGTATCCATATAAGAAGGTACTACAAAATGAAATAGGTTGACATTGATTATATCAACAAGGATCCATGTAGTTAATTTCTGTGACCTGCTCCTAGGAGGCTACATTTAAGATAAAGTTTACATTGGCAAAGCAATGGAAAATAGAATAAAGCATTGAATTATTCAGTCATTTTATGTAGAAAGTAGAGTATAATTTATGGAATTATTTTTTCATCACAGATGTAATGGATATTTATGTAATTATATGTACAATTAATCTTCACTTTTATGAATATTTATTCTCTATGTTCATTCTGTGTGGTATTTTCCATACTCTTATAGGTCTGTTATTTAGACTTTTGATGTTTCTATCAAAATGAATCAGGGTTTTCTACACAACTGATTTAGAGGAATGGAGCAAGAAATTTTGTAAATTTGGGAAAATATTCTCAAATACTCCCACTCAAAGTTTGGAATTATGCATAAAGGAAGGCAATTCTAATTTGGGAAGTTTGAATATATGTAAAACTGGCTACGTGAAGAGATGATGGTGCAATTTTTTATAGTAGGCAATTCATTTGTATTGAAGTATTTAAATGAATTCAACAAGAAGACAGCAGAAGCTCTCTTTGTGTTGCCCTCTGTCACCACATCTGTGTATTTTGGCAGTGGAAGATTTTATTCCCAGAAATGAAGCCGGAGGAAAGAGGGCTCTCTTGAGGAAAGAAAAAAATCAAAATCTTCTCACTGCAATGGAAAGGGCCCTTATAATAGCCAAGTAGATGGAGATAATTTTCTATCTCATTTATTCAAGATCTTTCTATCTGGGCCACTGCCCCAAATATGATGGTAGCATATGTGACTGCCATCAATTATGATCAAATATGACTACCCTAAAAATGTTTGCTCAAAGGCAGGTTAAGCTAGGAAATTTGGGGCACCTTTGAAACAGTATGAAACAGATTATGAAACATATATACTGATGTCTCTCAAGTCACATATGTATCTGGGCTGTAAAGTACACAGTCACCTAATTAATATCTTGATAAAGGGTGAACATACATTTAAACAGTCCCTCTTAGTTTTTCTTTCACTTTATATTTAAATGAGGGCTGTTTTTAATTTAAATTAAGCTTGATGTCTTAGCTCCCTTAACATAGATATTGATTATATTTAGAAAGTGGTAAAAGCTGGATATTTGGTCCTATTTGCTTTTTAAGAATCCAAGAGAATAAGTCGAAAATATAAAATTGAAAACATAAAATAGTTCATATAATTTAAAAAATAAGCGACATAGGAATATGTAGCTTTGACAAATCAATGGAAAAAAACCAAAAAAACATAAGGAGCAAGTGGCAGAACATGAACATATATGAACACAAACGTATATAAAAACAGAGAAAAGTGGGAAAAGAGGGAGGAGGAGCCCAGTCACACACAGGTGAAACCAGCATCCTTAAATCAGTACCAGAAGAAAATGTTCATGGTACAAGCCTTGCAGCAAGCAATTCTGAATTACTCAGCAGGAGTTGCAGGGCAGAAATAGACACACATGTAGAGAACAAACGTACGGACCCCAAAGGGGGGAAAGCAGCAGGGGGGTGGTGGTGGTGGGATGAATTGGGAGATTGGGATTGACATGAATACACTAATATGTATGAAATGGATAACTAATAAGAACCTGCTGTATAAAAAAATTAAATAAAATTCAAAAATTAAACAAAAAACAAAACAAACAAAAAAGTTCCAATGTCCTTTAACTAAATAATGTCACTTTTAGAAATATATTCCAAAGGTTACATAATAATAAAAAATAAAATATTTAGAAGTGAAAATGTTCAATGTAGTATTGTTCATAATATAGAATTGGAGATAAAAACCTAAATTCAAGTAGTTAATATATAAAATATAGCATATCTAAAAGATGAATGTTACACGATAAACAAAACTATAATTTTAAACTATATAATAATAGAGAAAAATATTCACATTTTATTTTAAAGTTAAAAAGCACAAGAAAAAACCTGCTTGTATACTATGAGCCCAATATGAAAAAATTGCATATGTAATAGGTTCTTCATTATACTTCTGTATTTTCTAAATATTCAACCATGCTTTATTGTTAGAATCAGAAATTAAAATAACACTACTTATTATCATTGTCAGGATCATGATAATTAATATGTATTGAACTGCTTACTAAGTGCCAGGCACTGTTCTTGGCCCTTGAATCTTCATAACAATGAAAGTACGATTCTCTTTAACTGTGCTGCTGGCTTCATGAGTCATAGTTACTGGTTCGTTTGGACCATATGGTGAGAGCAGTACTGAACCATTTAGTCTTATAGCTCTCTAAGCTAATGTCAGAAGGCTTGAGTTGGCTTACTTATATTCACAGAAAAGACAAAAATGTTTCAGTCTCATCTCCACAATGTTGGCTAAAAATGAACGTTCCATAAATATAAATAGATTGTGACCTATAATTTGAAACATGTCAGAATATATTAAATAGTACCTGGGGGGAGCTGGATAAAGCCCACGGTTCTTTATTTTCTTTGTCAGGCTTTGCTCAATAGTTCTCTGTAATCTTTGTAATACTTAAGACTACCCAACAGCTATAGTCAACTTGCTAAAATTATGTATAAATGGGCACTCACTTTCAGTCCAGGAAAACATTATATTAAGTGGAAAAGTAGAATGTCAAATCTCTTTATCAAAAAGACTAGCAATTTTTTAAAGCATTCAAAACT